TACACAAATCATCCCAACCCGCCCACCTATCTTCTGATCTCTCTCCGGTGTGACGATCCACGCAGTCACTGACGGTTCTGAACTGACAACCCTCATTAGGAGTCCGCTTATATACAACGAATACAACATACAAAATAAACACAAACGAAATGAGATGTTGTGATCCATTCTGCTCTTCGCCTGTATTAGGTCTATTTCTAAAACAAGAATTTTGAATTCCGATTTTAATCCTTTTTTTCCTAGGCCTGTGGCAAAAATCATAACAAATATGCAGCTGTGTGCGATAAAGGCTCGTGTAGTCTGCACTGCTGCGTGGGTTATGCCTCACTTCAATTCTCCGTGTGTGCGCATGTCTCATGCATGATTAAACTTGGACACAGACAAAACTGCGCAGAGGACATTCGTTGCATTTTTATTCTAATCACGGTCAGCCATGATCGGAGCCTACGGTTGAACTACAGATAGCTATGAACCTAGTCTAACAAATGGAATCAAATATCCTGTGCCTATTACATGTTTGAATTTAAGCGTGGACTACGTACATGCCCCTAAACATCTTGAAATCTTGCAGATTAAAAGTAAAATACCCTGATGGCTAGCCCAGCTGGCCCAGTACTTTTCTTATCAATTTGAATCTTGCAACAACTGCAGTAACTTTTTCAAATTCTGTGTAGGTTTCATGGTTTCTGCAGTAGCAGAATCCATCTTTGAAATAACATACCCCCGGTACATGGTGTTTACTATTGTCCATGATGGCTAGTAAGTTTTGGTGTACAATTATAGCTGATGTTTTATCAGACGTTGCATTATTTTATTAATGATTGAGTAGAAATCTTAACATATACCTCCACCTTTCGTTACTATATAAAGTGATTAAACTTGATCACCATGTAGGCTGCAGATTTCCTTTATTATCTAACTTCAGAGTGAGTGCCTTACAGTACATATATTTAGGCCCTATAACATATATATGAATAAAAGCAGTCAGTTGAAATGTTTTAAATATAGATAAAATACCCCTAACTTATTCTTATTCGGCTTCATTTTGCCTGTATGCCTCGCTCAATGTGCCACAACTTGCTCCCTTTATTACGCCTAGGCGTTACTGTAAGAGACTTAAGGAGAAAATTGACGTCCGGAACCCCGGTATGATGCTATTCACTCACGTACAGAAAAATACATTGTGTTAAAAACACTTACCCAAAACCGATTCATCTTTCGTCTACATGTACGTCTATTGTTTTAGTCATTTAAAAATTCAACATAATTCCTACGGGCAATCTAGACTACATGCTAAAAGAAGAACAGTTAAGCAAAGACGAAACTCTTTGAAGTACAAACGATCATAATGACCGTTGCAATAAAGAAATAGATTAATAACGTCGCTACCGACTAGAAGAACTTACAAGCATCAACAGTATTTTATCAATTCTCCACTGTGTTGGTTGTTTTTTGAAACCGTGGCTTGCACTATAAACATAATATGTAATGTGCAGAAAGTGAAACGGCGTATACTCTTCAACAACGTGAATAATTTATATTTAAAGTCAAATCGTCTCCTCAGATTTGGGGCGATTTTTCATAACTCTTGCATACACAGCCACGGGCTCCTCCGAGATTACTGGCTGACCGACATCTTCAGATGAGTCTGGTTCTAAGTTCAAGTCAGCATAGACGAGGTGATCTGGTAGTGACGGCGTGTCACGATCGGTGCTGGTCTTGATCTGTGGAACTGAGACCTCAGTGTACATTGTCTTTCCACCTTGCGATGAGGGCTCAGCATAGGGGTCACGGTTCTCACTGGCTGTAAGGGCGTGGACATCGGTTGGTGGGAGGGACGGGGAAGATTTGGGTCGAGTTGACTCCCTTCTACCCTGATGGTA